AATCATCAAGAATACAGGTAACAGGAAAAAGGTACACTCATACATTGCTGGTGGGACTGCAAATTATTGCAACCACTATGGAAAACAATATGGAGATTCTTCAGAAAATTGGGAATGGAACCACCATTTTAACCCAGCTATTCCACTCCTTGGTTTATTCCCAAAGGACTTAAAACCAGCATATTATAGTGACTCAACCACATCAATGTTTATAGCAACCTAGGTGTCCCTCAACAGATGAATGGATAAAGGAAACATGGTATCTATACTCAGCTTTAAAGAAAAGTAAAATTATGGAATTTGCCAGTAAATGGTTGGAGTTAGAGAATATCATGCTAAGTGAAATAAGCCAATCCCAGCAAAACCAAAAGCTGAAAGTTTTCTCTAATATGCGGATGCTAATTCACATAAGGCGTGGGGTGGGGGGACACTAGGGAAAAATAGCGTTACCTTAGTTTAGATAGAGGGAAGTGATGGGAGGGAAGGGGAGGGGATATGAGGATAGGAAAGAATAGAATGAAACAGACATTATTACTGTATGTATATATGTGACTGCATGACCAATATGATTCTGCAACATGTAGACTCAGAAAAATGAGAGATTATATCCCATCTATGTATGATATATCAAAGTGCATAAATGTATTCTACTGTCATGTATAACTAATTAAAATGAATTAAAAAATTAAAAAATATCAGAAGACCCAATATTGTCAAGATATCAATACTTCCAAAATTAATCACTGTATTTAACATAATCTCATTAAAAATTCCAGCAGGAAACCCATACTTTATAGTTATATTATGTAAAAAAAGAAAGAAAATTCCAGCAGGATTTTGGCAAAACTTGACAAATTGATTCATATGTTAATGTAAAGATCTAGAGTAACCCAGAGAACTTTGATTACAGTTAGAGGGCTAATACCACCTGGTTTCAAAATTATTACCCATCTGCAATGATAAAGACAGTGAATTGAGCTGCTATAAACATTGATGTGGCTGCGTCACGATAGTGTGCTGATTTTAAGTCCTTTGGGTATAAACCAAGGAGTGGAATAGCTGAGTTAAATGGTGGTTCCATTCCCAATTTTCTGAGGAATCTCCATACTGTTTTCCATAGTGGTTGGACTAATTTGCAGTCCCACCGGCAATTAATATCAAGGTAGACAAATAATATATCAATAGAGAAGAAAAGAAAGTCTAAAAATTGACTCATACATATATAGTCAATTGATTTTTTTTTAAATTTCAAAGTCAAGTCAGTGTAGAAAGGACAGTCTTTTAACAAACGTTGCTGGAACGTTTGAACAGCCACATGTCAACCCATGAATGCATACCCTCCCTAAGACCAAGCAAAAACCAAGTCAAAGTGGAGCACAGACCTAAAAGAGCCCACACTGTACAACTAGAAAACTGAAATATTTCATGATTCTGTGAACTGTCAAACACGTTATTAAAAAAAAATGACAAGACAGACCAAGGTTGGGATAAAATATTTGAAAATTCCGTATGTGATAAAGAACTCACGTATAGACTATATAAAGAATTTCTTTCCACCAATCATGTGAAGGAGGGATTGTGAAACCTGTTTCACACACACTCAGGAAACTGGAGCCAGAACAGGTAATACCAGAGATGGTGCAGCCCTGTGACGGAAACCTTGGTGTCTGGGGTCAGAGAAGTTTAGCCTAGACTTCCAACCCAGCCCCTTTCTGGTTTTTACATATTGGAAATACCGATGCTTTAACCTAATCCACAGTGAAGTGCGAATAATAATAATAAAAAAATGCCTACTTCTGTGAGTTTGCTCAGGATTAATGAGACACTGGAAGGAACACTGCACATTGTTTGGCACAAAGCAAGTGTTCAGTCATTTAGCTGGTCACAAAATCTTTGTAGTGTCTACCCATTGCCCCATGTTGAAGTCTCCCTCCCATGACATGTGAAGTCCCCATCAGTCAAGCCTTCTTTGTAGACCAACACCACGTCAGCCAGTACGGTGGTACCTTATCTCCATTTGTCTTTATTTTGTCAGTTTGGTTATAAGGTTTCCTAGGACCAGGACTAGCTTCTGGGTTTCTCTGTGTACTCCCTGATTAAACTTGGTACTTAGTAGGTTTAATAAATGGCTGTTGATTAACTAAATCTGATGAAAGAGAGTAGAGAAGGAAAATGAAAAGGAGAGCAGAACACCGGAAATAAAACTAGAGACATCTAAGGACTGATTTAATCATAGAAGACGTGAATGGCAGGCTTGCGTTGGGGAGGAAGGGAGAGGGAAAGAAATTCCTCTGAAGTGGATAGGAAATGAAATAGCAAGGACAGAAAGTGGGGCAAGAGTGACGAACGTAGTGCGCTGTGATGAGGGAAGCAATTCTATTCAGAGAGACTGCTCTTGGGCAATGTTGGGTTTCCCCTTTTTTTGAAATCAGTAAGGCACATATGGTATTAAAAGGCCACTGCTACCTCTCAAAGCGCCTTAAACAATGAAGTCTTGTGCTTGCTGAATGTGCACCCTGATGGGAGACCAGGCAATGAGTGTGGGTCATGCAAAGACCACAAAGCAGTCCCCAACTCTGTCCTACATTGAGAATCTGGTGATTGGGAGTCAGTTTCCAGTTTTGATCCAGGGATGTTTAAAAAGTGGGAGCAATGGGAAAGAGTCTAGCTAAGTAGATAAGGAATAAAAATTCCCCCCTTCTTTCATGCTCGCCCTTTGAAATCCCACACATCTTGAAGGTTTGCTGGGAAGAAGCCTCCTGGGTGTTAGAAAGGACTTGACCTTCCTCCATATTCCTATTCCACTGGTTTCTACTCAGTGACAGGATTCGGCTCAAGTTGTTTCCTAGGAAAGAAATGAGGACGACTTCCTGACACTAGACTCATTTTATTCATCTCTCCACTGCCTGTGGGGGGCCTTGTCCAGGGTCTGACATTCAGCAGATGCCCCATAAACATCTGTTGATTGATGTCTCTCTGTAGATGACTAGATAGAGGGTATGACCTGAAAGGATGTGGAGCCCAGATGAAATGCCCCACCTACTGTGCTCCTACGACACCCTGGACTTGACACATCTTATCACCAACTATGTAAGATTGACTTGTTAGGTCCCTTTGCCCCAGCCAGACCCTTGAGAGCGGAGACTGACCCACTTGTACTTACAGGGGCACAGTGAATGTGCTGAGCAGTCATTTACTTGAATAAATGGACACAGGTTTATAATGCCACAGATTGCTTGTGAACTCAGCAGAGCTGATTCTTCTGGACATCCTGGCTTTGCCCATACTTCAAACCTAGAGCAAGTTAGCAGCCTGCTCATGAGGACCTTCCAGTAGCTCCCAGAAATGATTGTACTTTAAAATTTCCCAGGGGAGCTTTTAAATTCCTGACACCCAGGTCATATTTCAGATCAATTAAATCAAAATATCTGGGAGGGAACCCAATATTAGTGATTTTTAAAGACTCCCAACGATCCTAAGTGACCCTCAGTGACCCCCCCCCAAAACTCCAAATAATCCCAATCAGTTATTTAAAATAAACAAAAAATTTCCTGTGGTCCAAAGTCATTACAGCAGGTGACCCCAATGGACAGACAAGTTTGAGAACTACTGATCTTGGAAGTGTATATTCCTTATTGAAATTAATAAGTCTCCCTAAATCAGAGAATTGTCAAGGAGAGTCATGTCTCTGACACCCACAAATGGAGATATGACCATAGAACATTTGTTAAAGGTGACAGGTCTGGTGTGAGGGCTGGAATTTGTCCAGATTCTCTGAAGTCTGTAGATCCTCCTGAGAAGCAAGGTCAGTTGGGCACCTTTCTCCTCAGCACAACTGCTCTCTCCTCTGTGTTTGGTATTTTAATTTTTCATTGCCACATTTTCCTCCATATTAGATTGTGAGCAACTCGAGAGCAGGAACCACACCTCCCTAAGTCACCGTGGATGGGTGACACATTTGTGATGTAAATGTGCCCAGGAATTCACTCATTAATTCATGTATTCATTCAACAAATGGTGATAACACCAGATTGTCAACGATAGCACTGGCAGAGAAGTTAGGAAGAGAAAAAAAGAGGAGAGGGCCCACGAGGAGAGAGAGTGAAGGGAGTCAAAGCCGAAGAAGAAAAGAAAAAAGAAAAGGGTATTCATTTTTATTCACATAATTCAATACTCTTCCAAGTCATGCTAGAAGAAACATATGTTCATTTAATCAAATGAACTGGAAAGTTAGTTAACATGTTGAAGTACCCTGCACTATTTTTTTTTTTTTTTTGCTTTTTAGGGTATTTATCACAATTAAATCAAACATGGTATAATTTGTATGTTTTATTTTCCAAGCTTTTGACTCTAGAATGGCAGCTCCTATTTGTAATATTCATCTCTATGTCCCAGTGCCTAGCACAGCATAGCCTGTAGTAGGTGCTCGGTAAATATCTACCAAGTGACTCCATGGACTTCTCATGGTTTCAGTGCCCCCTTCTGTTAAAAAAAATCATATCATTTTCATCTCAAAGTTGTCACAGATAAAATATATTAGCACCTGGTGCATGGTAGGCATTCAACAAATCTTAATTAATTTGTGGTTGAGGATACCAAGTGCCTGCTCTGTACCAGGCTCTGTGCTAAGTGCTGGGCAAAAAGGACAACTGAAAGTGCAATAAATCCCGCACCTTCTAGAAGGAGCAAGAGTTCTAGGATCTCAGTGACTGCTCCACCTGATCAGCCCTCTGTCCCCCGCAAAGCCCCAGCAAACTCCAACATCTGCGCACACACCAGGCGGCAAGGCCCGGACCCTTGAAGACTGGTCTTCCTTTCCACCACCAGATGGCAGCACAAAGCCCACTCTGCTTGGCGCGAAGCTGGCCCCGGATGTCACCGAAGCACAGGGCAAGGAGGGGCCCCAGTCCCTGGCCTTCTTGGGAAACTGTGAGAGTCAATGCTTTGGGGTTGGCCCTTTCTTTCCATCCACCCCCAGCCAGCCCTCCACCCAGAGTCACCTCATTCAGCATCCTTTCCAGAGCATCCAGGGCGCCCTTCCCTGCACCCCATGTCCTTTTGGATCTCGGCTCACTCCTCCTCGCACGCACTCAGTGGCACTTTCTTTTTTGGTAAGTGCTCGCTGGTTTCAGGTTTGAGGGGACCTGGTTGCATGATACTTTGTCAACAATCTTCAGAGGCTTCCTGTGTCACCCCAGCAAGTGAGGGCAGAAAAAAAAGTCTGACTTCCTTGGTCTGTGCTTTGCCTCCCTGGAGCCCTTAATAGTCCCCGATGGGCTGAAGGGAGAAAGAGCAGGTGTCAGTGCTGAGCCGGAATGAGGGGAGGTGAAAAGCTTAAGGCTAAAGAACCCGGATCTCTCTCTGCCCCCTTACCTCGGAGACTCCTTGGTGAATAGGACAGGAGGGAGGACACTGTAAAAACCGAAAGGCTCAGAGAAACTGGGTTTTTATTCTCCCGGGAAATCTGGTGCCTTCTGAGGCTTACTGAGAAAACACAATCTCTCCATCCATCCATCCATCCATCCATCCATCCATCCACGGCATGCATTGAGCTTTTGGACCTATGGTACTGGGAACACAAAGATAGGACCCAGTGCTAGTCCTTAAGGCCCTTAAAGCTGAATCAGAGAGTCAGGCTAGTGAACAGCCAGTTACTACAGAGCAGGAGAAATGTCAGGAGAGAGGACAACATGGGGCACTGCAGGACACAAACAGGAGGGGCTGGGGAGGCCATAAGAGGCTTCTGGAACAGGGTCTAGGAGTTGAGTACTGAAGGACTCGCAGGGGTTAGCCATGGGGAGTTAAGAAGAGGAATCAGCACCTGTGAAACCATGAAGGGAGACAACAGGGAGGGGGAAGGGATCTATACGGAATTCGTCGTGATTGGAGCATTATGTGCAAGAAACTAAAGAGGTGTCTAGAGAGGGTAGCGGGGACCAGATCTTACAGGGTGGATCTGAAAGGCTCTGTAAGATTATTTGGACTTGACTTTGGAGGTAGGGGAATCTTAAAGGATATTAAGCAGATGGGCATTGTGGTGGGATTATCCTGTTAAGAAATATTATTCTGGCTACTTTGGGGGATGGGCCTATAGGTGGACGTGGAAGGGACCATACAGGAGGTGGGGAGACAGATGGGAAACTGTTGTGGTGGTCCAGGCAGACACCATGTAGACATGCACCAAAAAGAGAGAGAGTGCTGAGATAGAGTCAGAATGTCCAACCTAGACCTGCAGGGTCTAGGGGGGAGGTCTGTGAGATATCTGCATAGGAAATACAGGGAGATATGAATCTTCCTGCCTGGAGCTTGGGGGATAGACATGGGCTAGATCCTCAGAGAGATCTGGAAGTCTGTATGGATAAGTCCATGGGTGAGATTACCCTAGGGGCCAAGCAGCAGGAACACTTAGGAGCCCAGAAAAGAAGGAGCAGGTGGCAGAGGGAAAGGAGGAGGAAATCAGTGGAGGAAGGCCCAGGAGTGCCAAGGCAGCCCCGGGGTCAGGAGAAGAGTTCTGTGAACTCAGGACAAGTCAGGTCCTTGGTATACAGGAGGGAAAAGAATTTCAGCACACGCCAGTCAGAGAACAGACAGATGAGGAAAGCAGATGGGGGGAAGGTATGCTATCTCCAGGGAGAGATACCGTTTGGAGTAAAACAGGAAATAAAACTTTCAGGGGAGAATGCCAGCCATCTCGAGGGTGAGAAGCTTTTGGGGTAAACCATATTCAAGAGAGAATATGGGTCATCTCCAGAGGATGAGATAGCCACTCACTGGTCTGGGCTGTTAATATTTATAGAGGGACAGTAGCTAGGGGCTGGACTAGGAGTCCGAGTGGAGTTCCCCACTTTTGCTCCTTGTTCTAGCACTTGCATATTGCCTTCCTTACTTTTTGCAGGCAGGGGCATGGGTCAAGGGCGCAGGCTATGTTGCTCAGGAATGCCTGCTTGGCTGAAAGCAAAAGTTTTGCTTTATTCCAAGGTTCATGGGCATTTTCTTCATTCCAATGGCTCATTGCTCATGGGTGCTTCTCTTTGGAGACTCAGTCTTTCTTTTTCTATACCCCCCCCCAATCATATCTCAAGGTGACACTGGATGTGTCATTGGAGGTAGCAACAGGGAGGCAAAGTTTCAGTGGAGCAGTATTGGGCAGAGGCTGTGCCCCATGGGTGGAGTACTAAGGAAATGAGGAGGTGGAAGAGGAACCCTTTAAAGAAATTTGAATATAAAAGAAATGATGAAAATAGATAAAGGAGAAGGTAATTATTCAAAAGGTGTTTCATTTGTTTGAGGTTGTTCATTTTAACATGGAAAGAACCTTATGGAGGAAAATGAGCACAAAATGAGTACTTGAAGATTCAGGAAAAATAAGGGGAGAGGATTCTTGGAGGGAAGGAGTCAGAAGGAGATTCAGAGCACAGGTACAATATGCTCGGATAAGACTTGGTGCTCGTCTTTGATGAGAGGGAGGATGGACTAGGATTGGCTTTGTCTGAGAGGGAAGGGGCTGGTGGAGGTCAAGTGTCTTAGTCCATTTTGTGTTATTCTAAGAGAATACTCAACACTGGACAATTTATAAAGATCAGACATTTGATTGGCTCACGGCCCTGCAAGCTGGGATGTCTGAGAGCATGGGACGGGATCTGGACGTGCAAAAAAGGACCCAAAGCTCACTTTTATAACAAGTCCACTCTTTTTTTTTAATTTATTTTTTTTAGTATTTGGCGGACACAACATCTTTGTCTGTATGTGGTGCTGAGGATCGAACCCGGGCCGCACGCATGCCAGGCGAGCGCGCTACGGCTTGAGCCACAACCCCAGCCCCACAAGTCCACTCTTGTAGTGACTAACCAGCTCCCCCCAATAACATTAATGCATTCTTGAGGGCTCCACCCTCCTGACCTACTCACCTCAGTAGGCCCCGCCTCCAGACACTGTTGCCCTGGGGATTACATTTCTGACATAACAACTTCGGGGGACTCCTTCAAAACACAGCCTGAGAGGAATCTGGGGTGGAATGAGCTTCACTGAGACCAGCTGAACTCTGTACAGAGCCTGGCGAGAAGGAAGGACACGGTAATACTTCCAGCCCTCATGGCTGGGTGATTTTCTCCATCAGGATCCTAGAGACTAAGTAAAAGAGTGAGGAGGCCACCAGGTGGGACTCTGCTGGAGAAGGAGAGTGACAGCAGGATGAGAGTTATCGGAGTTGAAAATTTCGTAAGAAAACACTTCATGCAACGACCAAGGGTTCTGAATTAACCATTGGCAGAACTGAGGAGAAGAGGATGCTAATAGGTTGGGAGAAAAGAGAGGGATAGTGGGAGGGAGAAGGTGACAGTAACGTGCCAGAGGTCATGTGTGTGGCATTTGTTTGAAGGACAGGGTGAAGAGTGGGATGACTGAGTTTAAAATTTCCAAGAGTAGCATTTCCAGGTCCTGTCAAAGGCTAGCATGTGGTCCTAATTGGGGTGCCTGAGTGAAACCAGGGTGTGGGAATCTGAAGGTGAAGCAGTCCAAGGTTTTGGGTGGATGGGTCACAGGAGCTGGACATCAGTGGTGATTCCTGGACCAAGGGAGAAGCCTGAGAGACAGGTGTCAAGGCTTTTGATGATCTGGGAGAGATCAGGTTGTTGACGGATGGCCAAACGGGGAAGGGAAGCTGGTCCCAGGAGTCTCATGAGAGCTGGGTTTTTGTAGGAGGGTGGTCACTCTGGGGGAGGGATGGGGACAATAAGCAGTCACCATTTGAAAGGGCTGCAGGTTGTTATGCCTGCAGAGGAGAGAGAGGTTTCCTTAGGTGAGGAGTGCAGGGAGCACCATCAGGCAGCTGAGGGTCCAGGTGCAGGGGTGGGTCCAGAAGAGAGGAGAGCAGTTGGAAGGGGAGAGAAAGCCCTGATTAGCACGGCATGAGGGGAGGGGTGAGGCAGACCTGGCAGCAGGTGGGAGGGCCTGGTGTGCTGCCTTCCTTCCTGAAGGATTTCCCCCGCTTCTCCAGCCCGTCCCTCTCTTCCTCGTTGTTCTCTATTCCCACAGTCAAAACAAGACACTTGTGGTGGTATTCCAGCTGTGGCCTGCCAATAGCCACTGTGGCTCTGAGAGCTGCAGAAGAAATGCTGAGCCCCATATGGAGATGGCCCTGATTCAGCCTCAGAGCGCCTGACCTCGGGACAGTCCGTCTGCTGTCTGGGTTCCCCATTCTCTGCTCACCCTGAGGTTTTGCTCTGTTGAGACCAAAAAAAAAGGATGAGCAGCTCTGAGAGGAGGTCTTGTCATGTTCTAGATACCGGAGGTTGAGCCGGAGGAGATGCGTCAAGAGGCCTCCAGATCTGGGCCAGCCTTAGGCTAGTTGAGCTGGAGAAACTTACCTGAGGACAGGTAGCTAGAAAGTGGCCAAGACAAAATGGAAATTGACCTGCAGGACAGCCCATTTACCCAGATGTTGCGGTTCACTGAAAGCTTGAATTTACAAGATTTCTTATTCTGCTGCATTTAAAATACATATCTACTATGTGACCCTGGGAAAGTGTTATGATTTGGATATGAGGTTCCCCAAATGCTCCCATGTGAATGCAGGAATGTTCAGAGGTGAAATGAATGAATTATGAGAGTTGTGACCTAATCAACCCACCTTAGTTTGAAGCAATTTCCCTCCACCATGCCCTTCCACCATGATATTCTGCCTCACCTTGGACCCAGGACAATGGAGTGGCTGACCATGGACTGAATCTCTGAAACCATGAGCCCAAATAAACATTCCTCCTCTACACTGTTCTTGCTGGATATTTTGGTCACAGCAACAAAAATCTAACACAGAACTGCACTATCAGCCTCAGTTTCCCTCTCTGAATAGTAAGAGGTTGAGCTAGAGTGGTGGGTTTTCTACGGTGGGGGTGGAACCACTGTGATTTGGTGGAAGAGCTGAGGGATCGTGGGTGTGTGTCACAGGGAACCTGAGAGGGGATGACTCCTGGCTCCACCTTGGTGTCCACCTGAGCATCTATCCATCCTTGGACCTGCCTGAATCCTGTGATTTTATGTGAGATTTTTGTTTGTAAAGGATTCTGTTGCCTAAAACAGTGTTAACA